TATATATATATATATATATATATATATATATATATATATATATATATATAACAATTTAATAAAATAAAAAGGTCATAATTTTTTGCTAACTTTAATTGAAAATATATTGTGCCAGAAATAAATCTCTACATAAATACTATAATATAAAATAGAAATTTTACTTTCAATCTTTATTCTAACTTGTTCTATTGTCAAAAGTATGAAATGTACTATCGATTTGTACTTGAATTTAATTTAAAGCCGAAGTAAATTTCACATTTTTTTATATCGCGACTAATTTATCGGATAAATAGACAGAGATATTTAAAAAAATTTTATTTCACATACGTTGACATATACTTTCATTGTTACATTGAATGTTTATAATAAATTATTTGTCTGAAAAGTTGATGTCATTTATCTAATATTGTAAAATTGAAATATGTACGATAAAATTTTCCTCAAAAAGTTCATATATACAGTAAAAGAAAATAAGAAAAATTTTCATAAAGAATTAACAAACAGATATTTCTGATTAAAATATCGAATTTTTGTATCCTATCAGGAAACATCCAATGAGAAATATCGGTTCATAGTTTTTAAATAAGCGGTTTATCTGATGAAATGTCATTATGATCGTAAATATCCGATAAAATTGAACCGGAATTTGATTGGAAATATCCGTTTGTTAATTTTTTGTATGAAATAATTTCTCTCAATGCAGGAATCTTTCTGTCTCTATAACCGAGTTTTTCATCTGAGATCCCACACTGAAAGAAAAATATAGTTGCTTTCGGCGTCATACTTTTTTGTGATTTTAACCAGAAAAATAATTAGAAGAACCATCTTTCTAATAACACTTACTAAAACAATGGTTCTTCTAATTATTTTTCTGATTAAAATCACAAGAGCGCATAGTTGACGTCAAAGGCAACTATGGCAACTATATTTTTCTCTCAGCGCAAATATCAGAAAATTCAGTTGCAGTAACGGAATCGTGCTTTTTCCGCGTACAGGCGCAAGCTTCGTCATAATAATATGCCGCGTCGTATCGCGCGCATCCCTCAGCACAGTCAACAGCCCTAACGGTGGGGGGAGGGGGCAATATCAGATGTAATTTGCCGGCGATATCGGATCGATTGCAGGATAACTCGGTGAATCATTGTGGCAGAGAGTACCTCGGAAAGACCGTCTCGAATTCGCAGGTCGAATTCGGGCTGAAGCGATGCCAGTAGATCGGGATCGACGACACACTGATAGTGCAGAACCACGTGCCGGCTATGATCAGCAGCACACGCCTCCTCGTCGCGTACGCGTTGTAGCTGAGCGGGTGTACGATCGCGATGTATCGGTCTATGGCGATCACCATGATGTTGTAGATGCTACCGCCGCACGCCACGCTGGTCAGCACGAATCGCGAGATGCATATCGAAAAGGTGTGGCTCAGCGGGTCGTGCACGTAGAACGCCAAATGATAGGGTAATGTTATGCCCACCAGCAGGTCCGACACCGCCAGATTAAACACGAAGTAATTGGAGACAACGCTCTTAAGCCGGCGAGTCATCGCGATCGCCACTATCGTCAGCACGTTCCCCAGAACGATTGCGACAAACAAGAAGCAGTCCACGAAGATCCAGAGTATGTTCTCTGGCATTATGATGGCGCTCACTTCCGACATTGGAGATGCACCGGTTCTTCACGTTCGCGTCAAAAGTGTTGTTTTTTTGCAGATATATGTTTCTGAAAAAATAGAGAAAAAAGATTCTCAGGTGCACACGGAGGAAGAAAAGATTGGTCGAACGTGACAATAAACGAACTAAATAACGTTGAGTTGAAGGAAACGGAATTTCTGATTCTTACACGGAAAAAGAATGCTGTTATATTAACCTTTAGACTGCCGGGAAAGCTATAAAAGTGGCTTTATAGCCACAAAAGTGACTTCTCCGGCAGTCTAAAAGTTAATAGAAATTGCCAACATCACCGTAACTGAAGTAAATTCAACAGCTATATAATTGAAATTAATATTTGAATCACCAAAACAAAATATATATTGGTTTCAATAGTATTGCTGTTAAATCAAGAAAATTTATTCTCAAATTACGGCGTTGGTAATTTCTATTAATACAACAGCATTTTTTTCCGTATATGAGCCAAATTCTGTTTCAATATATACGGTTTTCTCATGGACCAAACTGGCTTCCAAGAACTGGAAATTCTGTTTCCTTCAATCAACTACGTTCCTTATGTTACGTTTAGTTCGTTCCTTGTGTTAATACAACCAAACTTTTTCTTCGTACGATATCCAGTTAAGTGACGAGAGGTACTGATGTTTGCTGAGAGTGCGAACTTGAATTTTAATTTCTGATTCCTCGTTCGACTCACAGTCGATTCTCCTCCTGTTAGTAAGATCTCGAGAACTTTCAGATATTCTAAGACTACATATCCCGATTAGTTGAATTGGATTAAAAGTCTAAAAAGTAAAATTGTTCTCATTAAAACCAACACGATTTATGCAGATTTCTTTCGTCCTACGTTGACGTTTTCTATTTTAATCGAAGGAAGATCTGGAGAGAAAACTTTCTGACATTTAAAACTATATTCCGGTTAGTTGAATTAAATTGAAATTCTAAAAATGGGAATTCTTTCTGTCAAATAATGTGACCCATGAAGATTTTTTTCACTCTACGTTGTCTTCTAATTAAATACTAAGAAAATATACCGGAAAATTGATTTGGAATAAATAATAAAATAAAGTTTATTTCTATGAATAAATTTTATATCTCACAAATAAATGTTCAAATATTTTTTTGTCAGTGAAGAAAAATCTCGAGACGGAACTTTTCAATGTTTAAATCTCTACTAGAAAAACCTAGAAAAATATTTCAAAATTTACCTGTGAAATATAAAATTTATTTTTCTGAAATGAAGTTTATTTCTGTGAAAAAATAAATTTTATATTCCATAAATAAATTTTTAAGTGTTTTTGCTTAGTGTATATATTTCGGTTTGTAAAATTGAAATTCTAAAAAGCAAGAAGAATTCTTCCTGTCAACTAATGCGATCTATGAAGATTCTTTTCACTTTACGTTTATATCTCGTATCTTAAAAGGAAATCTGGAAAAAAATATCATTCGATATATCTAACACTACGTATCCTGGTCGATTAAATTAGGTTGACACAATCTAAAATTCCCTCCGTAAAAACCAACACGATGTATGAAAATTTCTCTCACTCTACGTCTTTTATTTTAATTGAGGAAAGATCTGGAGATATAATTTGCTAATATCTAAGATTACATATTTCGATTGGTTGGATTGATTTCAAATTCTAAAAAGCAGAATTCTTTCCGTCAACTACTAACACGATTTATGTAGATTTCTCTCGTTTTACATTGACATCTCCTGTCTTAATTAAAGGAAGACCTCAAGACAGAACTTACCAATGTTTAAGATTACATATTTCGCTTAGTTGAATTAAAGTTCTAAAAAAAACAAAAGTCTCCCCGTCAACTAACACTATCTATAAAGATTCGTCTCGTTCTACGTCAACATCTTTTATCTTAATTGAAGAAAGCCGAAATTTGTCTCGAATATTGCGCTGAATTAAAATCAAGGTAAAAGCTAATGACTTCTCCAGGGCGTAGGAAAGCTCAGGTCTATGTGAAACTTGTTAACCGTAGAACCAAAGGTTGCATAATAATGCGTCGATGACATTTCGCACATTCGTGCGGCGCGTAACTGCTGTACGGTCACGATTTCACATACTGACTGCAGAAGACACCCGACACGCGAAAACGACCAGACAGAGCCGACCATAGTGGCCAAATACGACTGGAGCCGCGAAATGGGGCCTCTGGAGTACTCACCTTCCGCGCGCACACGCACGGAGAGAAACGGGTTTCCGATGGTATCCTACGAAACGCTAAAGCACACACCTGTTCACGCATCACGATTACGTAAATCTACGACTTCGCGGCGGATTGATCCTCCTCGTTGCGAGAAACGCACAATGGGAGGCGACTCATCGCACGTCCCATCACTTCTTCAAGAGCCGTCCGCTCTTCGCGGTGACACGCGCAAAGTTTATTTTGATGACAGGACTAATAGCCATAATGGCCTGGACGAGACAGACAGAGAAGAGAAAGAGAAAGAAAGATAGGAGAGTCTAAGATCGATACGGAGAACGATTTGATAGATACGACACGTTGCCTGGTTCGTTCGAAAGTGGTTTTATCTGCTCACCTGGTGTTTCCCCCACGAAGGACTGCTACAATATACTGCGCTATCAGTCGCTATCAGCGGCCCATTTGCAATCGGGAAAGGTCGATGGGAGCCCGCTAGTCCTACGCACGGATACGCATAATCGCGAACCCTGATGTCATAATATTCTCTCCATCATGAACGTTATAATGTTATCATGCTATAAGGCAATCGCTATTTATGTCCAGGGTATATTTAGGTTCGCCTGCGAGCATACGCTAAGAGTGATGCGCAGAGGTCGAGAAACACTGCTCACCCTGTTGGAGGCCTTTGTCTACGATCCTCTGGTGGACTGGCGTGCCGGTGCGGATACCAGTATAGCGAGTTACGGAGCGTGTCAGGCTAGAGCCAGGTGCACCGGCATCGGCAGGAAGCAACTGGAGCAGGAGCTTACGCGCGCGATGTTCGCCGTGAGGACCGCAGAAATGCGCGCAGAATGGCTAGCCAACAGGTGAGGAAAGCAATCTTCTCGTCTTTCCTAAAATCAGACAATTCAAATCGGCTAGATTTAACCCTTTAAGTCATAATGTATATGATACACTTCTTTTAGAGCAGTTTTTACGAATTTAAACTAATTGGTAGAGACTTCGAGTAAATGTGGATTCATTGTGAAGCTTAGATGTTCCTCTAACAGTCATCTGCATAGAACGTTAACTGTTGCAAATTTAATTATTCATAAACAAATTAATGTAAAAAATGTATTTTTTTCTTAAATTCATTTGCCAAAAATATTGCAAAGTAAACCTATGGAAAAAATGGCTTTGATGTTGAAAAAATGGTTGATGCTTTTTGAGATGATGGCGCAACCTCAAAAATTTCAAAATTCAAGATAGCGAATTCAATATGGCAAACTAAAATACCGGACAATCAGGATAAGTTATATTTCTTTCCGTAAATGAGTGAAGTTGAGTCTGTAAATAGCTTAAATTTCAAAAAAGTGATTTTGAACTCGTGATCAGCGACGTCACAAATCCTCGAATACAATTTTCACGGAAATCGAGGGAATTTTAAGATTGTCGTCCGTCATGTTGGATCCGCCATCTTGAATTTTCAAAAATTGACTTCAAATTCGTAATTAGTGACTCCAAAAATCCCCATATATCGATTAAACAAAAGAAAAGGTTGTACGAAAAAATTTGTGACTTAAAATGTTCAGAAGAAAGATTTCTACTTTGTTGATTTTGACATGTTCATATTGATAAGAAAAAAAAAGGAGTCTCGACAGTAGAGAAGAGCAAAAGTCCTCTTTTTTTGTTAATCGTCAAGCTGATAAAGCGGTAAGTTGTTTCTTCGAATTTATCCCTTTTGATGAACTGGATTACAGTGACGAATTGTCCAAGACATTTCCACTGCTGTGTCATCACCTGAACTGTTGGATCGAAGCGACCGAAGCCTCACGCCAGTGTCAGGATTTACTGCAGGATCGACATCAGCAGCTCGCTCTGGTGAAGGAGGCGCAGGCGATGGGCCGAAATCACGCCTTGTATTCGGTAGTCAAGCGATACAATTCGTTCAAACGTGCACGGGACGCTCATGAGAAAGCAAAGGCCGGCCTGAAGGAGAAGATAGAGGAATGCGAGAAACAGATCAACATGCATAATGTGAGTTCTCTGTCCCAAACAATGTTGGATATTAATTGATTGAAAAATTGTATTTGACTAAAATAATCGGCAAATCAATAATCAAAGTTAATTAGTCGTCATATATGTAATTATGAGTAGTGTCGATTGACTGAAATGAAATTTATTATTATTGTTACATTTGTTTCCTCACCGCAGTCATCTTGATTTATAACGTCAGAAACGAGAAAATATACAAAATTCTTGCAAAATCAAAATATTTGCAAGATGATACTTTCAATCAGTCAAGCAAACTCGTAAAATAGTCTTCCTGTTCGTTCTAACAATCAATAAATAACTATAAAATTAACGTATTAAACGTAATTAATGTAATGAGAAAAGATAGGTTAAAAATAAAAGGTTGCATGCCACGTTAATTTTGCGCTAATTTATTGATTGTTAAACCAAAAGGAAAATGTGTGTTTGGACTATTTTACAGGTCTATTCGATTGATCGCAAGTGTCATTTTATGGATATATTTCTTTTATTTCAACGTATTTTATAGAAATTTTGAACATGTACATCCTCATTTCTGATGTAATCAATCAAAAGTTATTTCTCGCCGCAGCGAGGAATTAAGAGTTTTAATTATTATTATTAATTATGATTGATTTGCTGATTATTTCAATCAAACAAAATTTTAATCAATTAATGCCTGACACAGATCTTCAATCGGTATATCAGTTGAGATGTTTCTCTGATATCTTAATTAATCGATGTTTTTACAGATCGCACTGGCGACGGTGCGTGGACCCCAGCTGGGGCAATGGCTGGCGGAATTGGGAACCCCGGCGAACCAGGAGGAACATGTGGTATTCGATCTTGTGAAAGAATTCTTACAGAACGCTGGCCAGAGCCAAATGATATTGCAGTGCGAGCAATCGGAAAACGAATTGACGCAGCTGGCCACCCAGCAGTCGCACTTCATACGCAGCTGTTTGGAACAGCTGAGCCAGTATTCTGCGATCTGTAGCTTGTATCCTATGAGCACTCTGTCGCAACATCGCACGGTCCTCTATCACACTTGGGCAAATAAACTGTTAATCTCGGGCACCGTAGAGGCGTGCCACGAAGTCATGGCGCAATTCGAAGCGAATTTAGAGCCGACCAATCCGAACAGTCCACAGGTCCAACAGATAATCAATTTCTCGTATCAGATGCAAAGCATACTGAACGAATCGAACGAGAGATTTAAGAAGGCGTACGAAAGAGTGATGTCTGAAGGACTGCCCGAGGCCATCAACAGAATCGAGAAAGCATATATCGAGTCGAGGACACAGATCACAGGTTTCTTGCGACGGGAAAAGGGCGCGGAGAGAGCGCTCGAGTGCGTCAACATCACTGCGTTGTGTGCTCTAAACAAGAGATATCTCATGATGGAAGGCGCCGCCAAGTGCGCCGGGGATTGCCTGGTGGATCTCACGTCCCGCGAGGGAGACTGGTTCCTGGACGAGATGCGTCTAATGTCGTCGCTTATCGCCGAATTGGTCACACTGATACCGGAGAATCACAAGACCAACAACGATCCGAAAATCTCATTGATACTCAAATGCTTGAAGAGCGCCGACTGCATCTACAAAGGTCTGCAAGAGCTCAATTACAACTTTCAAACCATCATACTGCCAGAAGCAATGAAAACCATCATCACAGAAGAGCCTAGTGTCATGCGAATGATCAGTGAGCTCAGCGAGATTGTGCTGACCGGGATACCGCTCGGCGACATCTTGGCCCAGCTCGAGATACATCTCAGATTTACCGTCATGGAGATGGAGAGCCCGCACGCACTGGTACAAGGTTTAGTGACCAACATGAGACTGCGATTTGAAGCGTTACTGTCACGGCCCGCGGAGGTGCAAGACTTGAATCAGGAGGAAACCTTGACACCGGGTCAGATGTTGTTGATGGGTTTCAATGGCCTATTCGAGAAACTGCAAATGGAGGGTAACGCCTTAGTGGCCACGCTGAGCTCTTTGGACATCCCGTTGAATTGGAAGAAAATTGACCAAATACGAGAGGCCAAAGAGATGTCGGCACCCATCTTCAACAAAGCGGCTCGACAGGTCTTGGAGGATATATTCTTGATCAAGAGACTACACACTATACAGGAATTCTTTATAATGTGCAGAAATATTGCTACTGCATTTAAAGGCGGATTGACGAATGTGTACGATGATGAACATCTCAACAAGCCAGTCAGAGTATTTACGGCCGATTACGTGTCGAGACAGTTGCTTGGAGTGACGTCGCAAACACTGGCGATCGCGTTATGCTTTTTACTGCAGCGGATGGGTCTAAATGTAACCACCGAGATCGAGCAGCGGGACATCGGAGCGGAAAGTAAAGTCTCGATAGAAGAACTGTGTCGGAAGATCGTCGATCTGTGCTTGAAGAGGGGATTATTCTCAGGCTCGGTCTTGGCTCAGGCGGGCGCGCTCAGCAGTACGTTAGAGAGCACTTTCAAGCGGAAACAGGGTGCTCGATTGGCGCAACAGAGTGTCGAGGTCGCCAGAGCCAGTGCACAAAGACTCCAACTACAACTTACGGCTCATCATTGGTTGCACGAGGATATCTTGATGCTGAGGACTAACATGAATCCAATGAATCCTCTAAGTAAGTACGCCAGAAGTGTATTACCGATCTTCACTAGCGTTACACATGTGTAATGCATCATGTATGTACAACAGTGGCAATTTTTTTAGGGAGACTGACTCCCCTAAACTAAATAATTACAATTTTTCTTCTATATCGCTATATAAAGTTTGTTTTATATAATTACATGAAAACAAATACAATGTAACTGTAGGAAGTTCTCTAAATAAATTGTGGTAGCGGAAGTATTAAGTAGATAGCACATACAGAAATATATAAACACAGAAAATATTAAAAAAAACATATAAAACTTAAGCAGTAGCGAATTAGCCAATTATACTCGAGAATTATTGAGAACATAAAACTGTTCAAATCATGTTCAAATGTCATGTTCAAATTCCCGATTACAGCAAATCTTAATTTAAGTCTTGTGCTTACGTTTTTATGTACGACTTTTTACGCGCTAACGATTTCTTAAATATTAAGATTCGATAATTATCTATTTTAACATTCTCGGTTTCTTGCCGCAGTTATTTTGATTGATAACGACAGAAGCGAGATAATATGTAATATAGATACCTAAAATTCTTTCAAGATATATTAGTAATATATAAGTAAAAAAAATAATATAAGTAATAAAAGATATATATAAATAATAAAAGATATATAAGTAAAAAAGTATGTCCATAAAATGATTCTTACGATCGATTAAACAGATATTCAAACACTGATACTTTTAAACAATTTGAGGTTTGAAAAAATTAAAGATTTTAGTGATTAAAAATATTTCTTTTGCTCTAATAATTATTAGATTATAATCAATAAGTAGTCGTAAAATTAACATGACATACTTTTTAGCCTACTTTTTAGCAATGTAAAATTTTGTCAGATTCCGGAATATTTTACAAATCCGTTTAATCGATTGCATATATTATTATTTCTACGTCTTTTGCAAAAATTTTAAATATACAGAGTGTCCCAATTTAAATTATCTCCCTCTCCCCAAAAAAATTTTTTAATTTTTGTTATAGAAAAAAATGCTTTATACAAAAGTTGTATGTGTGTATTTAAACAAAAGTTGTGTGTGTATATTTGGTTGAAGGAGGACACATGATTCTCTGGTGTGAGTCATGTTGTAGATATCGTTTTCAAGAAATTTTAAAGGCGACTAATTTTCTTAAATGGATTGATCTTCTCTTTGAGATAAAAGTTGTAAATCTGGTCGGAACATTTTCAAAATATTTCCCAAAATTGTTTTTTGCGTAAAACGTTCCAGAGATGTGAAGCTTCAAAGTTTACAAAGCCACTGGGTCCGCATGCATGATTCGTGTAAAAGACTTTAATTTTATTCTAAATATCACTATCTAAAAATTTCTATCCGCTATACCACTTTTAGGGTTACCTAGGAATAATAACATGAAAGTAGTAGATTTCTATTCCCTTTGGGGTTTAATTAACGTGAGTCCCTTTGTAAATTTTGAAGCTTTATATCTCTGGAACGGCTTATGCAAAAGACAATTTTGGGAAGACAACTTTTATCTTAAGAAAAAAAATCAATTTTTATTTAAGAAAATTAGTTTAAAATTTCATGAAAACGACATCTATGACATGAGACATCGGAGTTGTGTCCCTCTTCAAGCCAAACAAATTTTATCTGAAGCATTTTTTCTACAATCAAAAATAAAAAAGTTTTAGGGAGGAGAGGTAAATTGAAATAGAACACTCTGTATATTTTATTACTTCTGAGACGCCATTAATTAAGATGCAAGCAGAAACCTTAACAAGCCTCAAAACTTATTTCTCTTTTATCTCGTCAGATCGCTCTACCTCCATGTTGGAATTGCGGAAAACAGCCGCGGCACTGTCGGGATTGCAATCACGAGTATGCGAGGCTCGTGAACAGCAACAGAATCTCGTCTCGAGCGCTATACAACGCCTCAAGTGGGCCGCCGGTGCCAACCCGGCGCTAGGCGAAGTCATGTCGGCATTCGACAACGCGGTCTTGTCCTCGTGCGAGAAGCTGACCCGGCAACACAATCTCGCGGCGATGGTGGTGAACACGTGCAATTCCATACTGCGCTACGAGGCTCTGCGGACGCGTACATCGGAGAGCTTGACGCACGACGCGAATTTCGTGAAGCTGACGAAACACTGGGAGGAGAGCTGCATGTTGACGGTTAACCTGAACATTACCGTCACCATGATAGAGGAGAGCCTCGTGCAGCTGTTGCAGTTGGAAAACAACGTTGACGCCAATTGGCTGAAGCAGGCGGAGAAGATTGTGTCTGAAGCCATCCTCGACACTCAGAAGAAATTACAAGACAAACAGGATCACCTATACGCGGCCCAGGTCTGCTTGAGGGAGCGGGTGGCGGGTCTGCAGAACGTACTCACCGAGCACCACAGATTGATGTCAGACGTGAGAGTATTGTTAAGAACGATGGCCAAGCAGGAGAATATCGTCGGCTTGCAGGACTTCCTGTCGGCGTACCGTTCGTTCACAGAGAGCGTATCAGGGGTGGTGAAGGAATTAGAATCTGAGAAGTTCGACATAGCACGAAGTATGGCAATCAAGGAAGAGTTGCAGAGCATGGCAATTAAGTCGCCCGGCCTGTACAATGAATTACTAGAGTTTGCGAGCGAGCAGAGATTGAACGCGGCGAAGAACGCAGAGAAGGACAGCCTGCAGAAGAAAAAGAACAAGTTGATAAGACAGGACAGTGTGTGTATGAGCCCGAGAAAAGGCGTGCCATTAGCCAGAGATCCGACCACGGGAAAAGGTGAGTGTCTTATGACGAATTCGACTGGATGCACCAATGTGCATTAACGGAGTTGTAGTCTGTTCTTCCATCTAAGATCGTCTTAGGTCCATTTTTAGATGTTTCATAGCTAATGTAACGAATTATACAGCATTTGAAAATGAACTCGAGATCTTCAATATAAGATTGGACTATGAATGCACTGTCTAGTGGTGCGCATTAGTGCATCCAATCGAATACGCCATTACTTTCTGTTTTAGTTGGAGGATAAAGGAGTGCAACATTTTAATTTTGATGAGTTTCACAACTCATCCTGCATCTAATAGCAAAATGTACTTTCTGAATATTATTAAAAAACAGATTTTCCTAGCGAATACGGGATGCGTTATGAAATTCATCAAAATAAAATGTTGCAACCTTTTATCCTTTGACTATCTGTCCACGTTTATTGTAATATCAGTTGTAATCGTAAGGAAAGAGACATCGTTGTGAACACTTGATTGCTATCGTAAAAACCAGTATCGTAGATCGTAAAAGTTGAGGTTTATTCGTTTCTCACGATAAATTTGCGACGGCTTTCAAGGATTGTTGCGACAAAAGTTTCGCAATTGCTTACATCTGATATCACGATAAATATTTGAAGTTTTTGCATTGGAAACAAATCCACAAAAAACACGACTTTAACTCGAAAGTCAAACCTATACGAAGAGAATTTTAGTTATTAAAGTATAGCTAGAAAGATTGCTCAAACTATAATTAACTACTATAATTAACTATATAAACTATACGAAATATTTAATAAATATTTATTTAATTATATTTAATTAATTAAACTCTATAGTTAATTATACTTAGTTAAAAATTAAGTATATTTAGAAAAATTACTAAAGAATTTTGTGAGTGAGAAATTTTATAACCGAAGGACATTTTGCCTTAATTTATTATTCTTTCGTCTCATATCTATATTTCAAGAACTAAAAAATTCACATTCTTTAGCTAAATTTATTGTTTCTTAATAAAATAAACTGTATATTGACAGTCTATTCCTGCACCAGTAGAAAAAAGAGAGAGAAAAGGGGGAGACGGTAAAATTAAAAAGAATTCATATATAAAAAAAGCTATAACATTCTTTCCATATAATATTACAATAAATATTTAGAACTTTCTCGGTGAAAAAAATGCTAGTCTTTGCTTGCGGGTTTGAACCGCGTTTTTTGCGCACTTGTTTCCAACGTTTTGTAAACATTTTATACTTCTCTCCTTGATGAAATAACCTGAAATATTTACCATACATTTGAAATACCATATATTACAAATCCGCAAGAAATCCAACTCCAAATAGTAAGCAAAATCCACGGTACCACGATAAAACATGATAGATATAGACATACCTTCATAAGAAAAGAAGTACAGTGATTAGCAGTTTTAAAGTTTTCTCTATTTTAAACTGTCTCTTGATACAAAATACCACTTGTAGAACTCGTTTTTTTTGCAAAGATTAGGCAAGATTCTAGGCTACAAGAATATCTAGTTATATTGGAAAAATAAAATACATCTTGCTCAAAATAAAATAACAAATTTAAATAATGAAAATCATAGTTATTAGCACTTTTGTCATTATGATCGGCATATTTGTCACAGTGATCGGCACTCGTTAGAAATATGTTAAATAAAAAAATACGCCACAATTCAGAGCTAGTTAATAATCGAAATCATGTTCTTAACTGCGCTGCTAAATGATTTATTAGATAAATGCACTGTCTACACCAGTGAACTATATACTATACTAGAATGTAAACTATTATGTTTAGCACTAACTGTTTAGCAGTCACTGAAAAGAAAAAGATGAGTTGATTAGAAATTATATCTGTCTTTGTCTAGTGAATTTTGATTAATCACCAATTTTCTATATTTTTTATTACAAAACATCAATCTTATTAAATTTCTCGAATCGATAAACTCGAATCAATAGCTGTTAAATGCTTTCGAATGCTTGCGATTTTTTTTATTTTGGTTTTCATCATATGATTATATTATTTTATTATTAAATGTAGTACACATGAAACTTCCGATAATCCATTACTCAATATATTTGTGCGCTGAAAGCAGTGAATGTTTTCAGCTCAAAGAGTAGAGCAGTAGAAAAAGATGGACTGGTTATAAAATGAATTTTTCCATCTCTCTCATACAATTTTCTTCAAGAGTAGAGTTCACATTCTAGTATAGTATATATAGTTCACTAATCCACACATTAGTGTATTGGCGGCTTCTGATTGTAACCTAATGAGTTAATCAACACTGCAACTTTACCGATTGCTCTTCACGATAGACAATTTTTTCCTTTATTATCAATAACTGCATATTCAATGATATAAAATTTTGTATCAAGTACCAAAATTTGATAGCTGTTGTCACATTATTCAGTCAAATAATACGGGCCAAGTATAAAGTGATAATTAGGAAATAATTTAGTTATATAAAGTAAATATAATGTTGTCAAAACCACACACAAGATTTAGTTGTTTGAATATATTTAGATCATCAAATTAAATTCTGGATGTTAATACCAAATGTTGATAATACTGTTCGATAAAAATCAAATTTTTTTCGTGACTTGAGTGCAAATAGTCATTTCAGATGTATTTTTGCCTGCTGAACACGAATCCGTTGTCCATATTTGGCTATTACGTCATAATTTTGAGAAAAATGACGTTAAAGAGGCAAAAATGACGATTTTGTGGGTTTTTGTGACGCTGTAGCGTAGTAAATTTGTTTTCTACATTTCGTTAATGCCACGCAAAAGTATCAACTTTTAGTTTGAAAATGCATCTTGTCTCGTCTCCCAACAATTTTTCGTTTTTAACATATGACCAATCAGAAACAATCGTCGGCATCAATATTACTGAGCAGAACAATTTTTTTGCAAGAAAGTAAATAGTCATTTCCGATGTATCTTTGCCTACTGAACACGAATTCGTCGTCCAAATCTGGTTATCACGTCACAATTTTGAGAAAAATGGAGTAAGATACAAGATAAGAAGATTCCCGTACTCGGCTTTTTGGCTTCTTTGACGCCATTTTTCTCAAAATTGTGTCGTGATAGCCAAATTTGGACGACGAATTCGTGTTCAGTAGACAAAAATACATTGGAAATGACTATTCGCACTCGTGTCATAAAAATTTCTCAAATAGTGTAATAGAAAAGAAGATATTTGGTAACTATTGCTAAAGCTTATATCTGAGGTAAAAATTGTTTTTGGTAATTTTTTTATTTTAATTTAAAAATTTTATCGTAGTATTTAAACTATTTTAAGACATTTATATTTTTTATTTCTTGCATCGGCGTTTTCTATTGCTTCATACGTGAAGTTCTATCTGTGGTTTTATTCGATTCCTATAACGATTACCCATGCTTTCTCAGAGCCATTTATCCGATGCTTTATCTTATAATCGAATAGAAACTGGTGAGTCCTATAAGCTATGATATACTATTTCTTTGTACTTTCACTTATAATATATCTTTATAATTTTCAAAAAACATGGCAATACCATATTTACTAGCAAATATTGGAAACAACAATTGATACGCGACGAATATCAATAAGTAATATTAATATAAGTAGTAGATATTAATATAATTAATTAATGTATATTAATATAAGTAGAATTGATAGTCACTAAATATTTTGTGGTCTTAACAAGATAAATATTAATAGTTACCAAATATTTTGTCAAACAGAATTAAATAATTTTATAACACCAAATATCCGGTAATAGTCGTCAAATATTTGGTAATAGATTGTAGACGATAAATGTAGTTGTAATCCCATAGGGGAGCAATAAAATCTTTATATACCAGTAGTGGTAATAGATGTTACCACTATTTGGTAAGTATTACTAAAATATTTAGTCCATTTGATTGTGACTAAAAGTTCTTCGTGCATCAAATCTACTATGTATTTGATTATTATTATTATTATATTTGGTATTAATTATCGAATTTTTACTTAAATTCTTAACCAAATACATGTAGTAATAATTATCTATTTTTTTTTTTAGTTCAGTTTTTTCCAGTTTTGCATTTAAATATGCCGATATGCTAATCACTGTACCTTCTTCCCTATTCGCTGATGATCGTGCCCCTACGATCTTTGATCGGAAAAGGTCCCTTGAATAATCCAGCAATTTTCCTCAGCTATGCAAGAGCGGAATGCCTACGCGTTGAACGTGTGGCGTCGCGTGCGCATGAAGCTGGAGGGTCGCGACCCTCAGCCGTCGCGCAAGTACACCACCGCCGAGCAAGTGGAGTACGTGATACGCGAGGCGCAGAGCACCGACAACCTGGCGCTGCTGTATGAGGGCTGGACACCGTGGGTCTGAACGGACAGCGGCTGGCGCGCGCGCGCGCCGATGGCTCGACACTCCTCTCATAACGGTGGTACTCAAGCTCGTACCGCTCGTCGTCGCCCTACGTTGCCGTAGAGGCGAAACTCTCTCCGCATCTCGCGATACCAGGTTGCGGCGATACTCGACCAACCAGTCATCCGCGCGAACCAAGTCAATAGAAAAAAAGAGTCGTTTCAGAGGTTTTCAGAGGGTCGCTCGCGGCCTGCGTGAGCGTGCACGACATGCGTCGCAGCTCGATCCCCGGCACGACTACTGGGAAACAAAGCAACCTACTGTACCAAGTTGATTCTGTCGTTGTCCCGAAAGCGTGGCTCGCGAGCGGTTTATTATGCGGATTAACGGCTTTTTCGTTACTGTTTGTATTTCACGGCACGCGGGCTGAAGGAGAACACGGGTTTGGGTCGTCATGGGTGTGTGCGCTGGTGGAGTCCTTGTGAATTCAATCTCTTCTCTCGTCCAAGACTATTCTCATGAAACGCTCCTAGCGTTTTCATAATAATTGGTTGGATTTTTTGTGAGAGGAAAAGAAAGAATAGGTTGAATTGATGAGGATTTCCTAAGGTGATACAGGCGAACGCGGATGAACGGGCTTTACTTTAGTCGGGAGCCATGGGATTTTGGGAACCGTATGGAATCAGTTGCAACTGTTAAGCTATATAGTCACGTGAAATTCGACTGACGATATTGACGGAAAGTAATTGACGACGACAATGAATGATGACGGTGACGATGACGATGGTACAGCGAGACGGCTTACGCAGTCGTGTGTGGTGTAATGTCATCGTGTCAGGAGAAATAAGCATGTCCTCGTATGAGATGCCTGTCGCCGGCTCGTTCGGCGAACTGGCATCCTCCAGTCGGACGACGTAACGTTATAATTTTAAGTACATATATGTGGTTAATCATATTACAGGCAGACTTGACGATTAATTTGATCAGAAAACGGAAACCGTCAGGCACACCATCGCAACGTTATTTTAACAAAAGGAGCAAAATTAACAGAGGGACGAATAGATTTATCATTATTATTATTATTACTATTATTATTATTATTGAGTTATATGTAACTGAATATGTCAAAAATATACACGCGCGAACACGTATACACTTAGCACGAATACACACAGGCTCATATACGCGAACGAACGTGTTTGAAAAGAAATAGTCAACGGCACCACAATTGGTGCAGTAATTTTTCTTAATTTGGACACATAAAAAATGTTTATCGTTACGATATCCATTATTTTTTTACCAGTTACTACCGTGGGGAGGAAAAAGTTCTAAGTGCAATTAATCAGTTTTTAACCGGGACATAATAAAATGCAATAATACAAATTTTGAAAACTTTTTTTATAAAAAAATCAAGATTATTTACAGTTTTTTAAATGAAGCTATATTTTTTTATCCATAGTATTGTAAAAAGAACAATTAAGTAGCAAATTCAATAGTTTCTCCCTCTCTCCCCCCTCTCCCCCCTCTCTCTCTCTCTCTCCTCTCTCTCTCCTTTCTCACTCCTCTCTCTTTCTCTCATAATATTATTTTTACTAATATTTAACAATGAAGATACAGACAGAAGATACGAGAATATTTGGAATACAATGTAACGAATAATGTTAGATGTTTAGAACATTTTTGAAATGTAATTCATTTTTCTGCAATACAAAACTCCGCCCTTTGTAATAGCAATATTATATATCGCATCAATTAGTATATTTCGATTTATGTGTCTGCATATTTGTGTTTTACATTGTCAGAATTTCTTATTATTTCATTATGTTCTTTTTTGCTGTGAAATAACAATAAAGATAACATTATCAGTTACTCGCATGAATTTGTTTTAATATTTTTTATAACGGATAAGAAAAGATACGATTCTACTTTAAAAAAGTGGATTATTTACGAAAAAAAACGTTTTCGAAATTTTTATTACTGCATTTTATTGTCGTTTAAAAACTAATTAATTATATCTAGAACTTTTGTCTATCTGATCATTGTAATTGGTAAAAATATAAAGGATACTGTTACAATGAACACACCATACTAGCACGCATCGATCCGTTTTGAGTTTTGATTCACGTTATTGAGTGATTCTCGGGTGGGGAAAAAGAACCTGATCCAATTTCGTAGCCACCATAATATATATACAATGATTTTCACTGCTTTCTGCAGTTGCATGCATGGTTGAGTCATCTCTCTTTTCAATCAATTAAGTCCGGTTTAGACAATTCGTAATTCGCGACAGTAATCGGAGCAAAATTACCGATGGTCTAAAGTGAGCTTAAGAAAAAAGATCACGTCATTTGTCCGCATCTTACGTAGTCGATACTTCGTACTTTCCAAGTAATAACAATCAACCAACCCAATTCTACGCAAGAAAAGATAGGATTTTTTACGCGACCATTTCGACATTTTAAATTCTTTTTAATGTAGAATTCTTCATATTGAACTTTCCGCAGCGAAGGAATGTTTCGGCGCAAATAGATTTTAATTTGTGTATTAGAATTTGAACGAAAGATTAAAATTGATTACCTACCATCTAACATCATATAATTCCATGCAATGTAAGACTCCTACTATATCACTTGATGCAATGGAACTAATAAGAAAAATCATTATCGAAATAAACAAAAAGTCTCTCTTTTTCTCTCTCTTTCATATATTTTTTACTAATCTATATCTCTCAGTTGAATTTGCTTTCTTATCCTTAGCGAAAGGCGTGAATGATTATCCAAGTGAAATTATTGCGAAGCTTTATTACAGAGAAAAATCGTACAGAATTATTATCGTACAAAATGATATTGCATTATTACTCTCGCAGATGTCAAAGTATCTTTGGCGTGATCCCTCCATCGCAATCATCGAAGTCAGTGTTCTTCCGGCAACCATATATCGGAGGTAGAATCTCCACCAGGATATCTGCAAAAAAATAAGCGATATGATTCGATTTAATGATCAACATAGCGAGCCCTTTTCGCAAGAAAACAGGCGATTTAAAAGAGATTGACGGGAATTTATTCTGCAAAATAGAATGTCCAGTTATCGAGAAATCAGGATAGAATTAGAGTAGAATAGAAATATCAAAATTAGGGTAGAAATAGAGAGGAAACAAAGAGAAAAAAATTAAGGATTTGAGAAGAGCGAGAGTAGCTGATAACTTTGTATAACTACACGAATAAATTCCGAATTATCTCTTTTGATGAATTCTTTTTCTTTCGATTGTAAACAGGGCCGAGACGGCAACGTCTCACGTTTTTCTTTTACTGGCGTAATAAATTACGAAATATCTCACCTCATCTCGTGTGCGAGTAGGATATCGTTCTTATCGGCGCCGAAATCAACGAGGAATTGATCGTCGAGCTTCATGCCGCCCTTCTTGACGTCGATATCGAGTTTCACCATCGTCGATCCGTATCTAAATGAGCGGAATATTCGATTGTAGAAGCAGATTGTAAAGATTTTGTGTCACAGAGAGAGAAATAAATAAAAGGAACACGGAAGATCAAAGATGTGTGCGTGTATGTGTAATGTGTGCGCGCGCTCACTTCAAAAGATCGGGGTAGAATTGCTGGTCCCACGGCTTGAAGATGGAGGTGGTCACGTACAGCCTACTTCCGTCCAGACTTAGCTGCAACATCTGCGGCGCTCCGTACAATCTACGGCCTTTCACGTACACGGGATCGGGCTGGTTGCACATCTCCTCGTCCTTCGTCACGCGCACCTGCGAGTCGCTCAGTATCGATCCGCCAAGGAAGACCTGACCTGTCAGTCTCGGCTTCTTCGTGTTTGAGATGTCGTACTGCCTGACGTCGCCGTGCAGCCAATTGGACATGTACAGGTACTTGTCGTCGAGACTTATCAGGATGTCGGTGATCATACCTGAAAGACGCGACGAAACATCTCTTCTTCGTTACATTTTATAGATAAATAAAGAATACCTCACAGTTTTCCGTTGAGAAGAAGTTCAATGTGTGATATATTTGTCTAGGATATTGTAGAATTTTTCATGATTCTTCAAGGCGTACCTGGCATCGTAGGCAACAGCCATCCTTCGACCTCCTTCGGAAGCACTTGAATCACCTTCTCCGCCTTCCACGAGTCATCCTTCGTCTTGTAGAATCGATAAATATTTGATGTTACCGCGCAGCCCACGAATCCTTCGGACGCGTAAGGATCGTGGAGGAATCGAATCTCGAGGGGCGCGATTCCGTCCTCTCCCAAATCGATGGTCTGCTTCAGCTTTTGCTCTTTCCACGAGTACACGTTCAGATTTCTCCCATAGATTGCTATGCATCGACACGCGCATATTATTATTTTTAAACTATATGCTTTGAGACTTTCTTTGCGGCGAGAGAAGTGAAAATTAAGCCAATTCAAATTCCGGCTTTTTATTTTGAAAATTTAGTGTTATTTTAAAAGAGATATTAGACAGGAATAAGTTTGATTTGAAAAATGATTTTAGCAGGAGAAATTACAAAATTTTATCATGATAAATTAAAAAAAAAATGAATAAAAAAGAATAAACTTTTTTTATAAATAAATAAACTATCACCAGAGTTGTAAAAGTATCAATGAAATGTTTCTTTTCAATTTAATAATTGATTTGAACAAATATATTTCAATTCAACTAATTAACGATTGATTTGATTAAAAGCAATCGACGAATATTTAATTGACACTTAATTTGAGCAAATTCAATAAAAGACAGTTTAATTGGCGATTGATATGAGAAAATTCAATCGATTCAATCGAGGAGTGTTTGATTGCTCAAGATTACAATTGGTTTAATGGATAATATCCATATTCGGAGTATTATAGCATATCGTGCTGATGATTGAAAAGTAAAACTCGTGTTGAGGGCGTATCAATTAAACGACCTTTAAGGCTCCTGTGTCACATCTCTTTTTTAATGACGTCAGAAACAAAGAAATGCATGCTAAAAGTTCTCGCAAAATTCGTTGAAATTAAAGGATATACTGAAGACGTAAAACGTAAAGTCCATAACACACAGTTGCCGTAAAACGTTAAGTTCAACCAATAGCAAACTTGGAAAAATTCCTTCCCATTTGCAACAGTTCAACGTAGTTAAATGCAGTGTACTATTTTACTAAACAGTAAGTATGCTTCTTTTTTATAATTTATTGAAGCGACAGCTGTAATCGATTGAATAGATCTATAAAATAATCCGAATATTACCTTTTTGCTCTAACAATCAATAATGTACTGTAAATTAAATTATGACAGAATTATGCGAAGAGCTAGGTTAAAAATATACATTTTACGTCGCACATTAGTTTACGGCAAATTATTGATTGTTAGAGCAAAAAGAAAGTGTTTGGACTATTTTACAGATCTGCTCGATCGATTGCAAGTGTCGCTTTATAAATATATCCTTTAATTTCAATGTATTTTGCAAGAATTTTTAGCATGCATTTCCTCGTTTTTGACGTCATTAAAAGGAGACAGACAATGCGAGAACACAGGAGTCTTAATTAAATTTGCTGAGTTCAATCGTCAATTAAACACCTTTAATCGAATCTGCTAAGTTTAATTGTTAATTGTTAACCATCTTTAATGAATCTTTAATTCATATCAATCGTCAGTTATCTTTAATTGAATTCGCCGAAATCAATAGTCAGTTAAACAGTATTCAATTGAATCGTATCCATATTATTAGTCCATATTAATCGTCAATTAAACACGATAATTAATTTAAAAAATAATTACACGAAACACTAGATAACTTCAAAAGTGCTTTATTTTAAAGGATGTGAATAGATGAATTAAAATATTTTTTTTTTCAAAATCTTATATGTCGTGTTTTTAAAGACACGCCGGGACAATGGATTAAAATGCAACCCTGCTTAAAATATTTAATAGAAAGTGATTGGATAAGATTGAAATGGATAGAATTCCTTTATTGATTTATACGACTTATCATGCACTGAAGCCGTACAACATAGACTTTATATTTTAGTCATATTTTATGATACTATTCTTTTCTATCATCTTGAATATTGATGTTTGTATAATAAATTGATATTTCTGAGTCATGGTAAATATCGCATTATGTACTTATTATTATTTTATAATAAACTACTTATAATATTCTTTCATAATAATTCTACTTGTAATAATGGTTACAAAATGATTAGATAAAAATGAAAAGAATATCTATGTAGTTTAATCATATCTTATGATACTACTCTTTTCCATCATATTGAATATGAAAGTTGGTATAATCAGTTTATATTTATCAATTATAGACAAATAGTATATGAATTCATTTACTAAATTTCGTAAATAAGTTGTGAAATATGAATCAAAATCACCATAAAATATAATAGACAAATTTTCTATCATTTTCTATCCAACATTTTAAGCAGGGAAGATTTTGACCATGTGGAGACACACGCATTAATACTCACTAGGATCTTTAGAGTCGTCTGGATTGTATCCCTTTTTGAAGGCTTTAGGTACACCCCATTCGGTAGCGATAAGCGTATCGTGATATGGCTGGTACCAATAGTCGTACCCGAAAACTGCTTTATTGGGCCCCTTCGTCCATGTACCCTTCGCCTCCAGAGTATCTACATCGATGCAGAAAAATTCGCCCAAACCGTTGCCATCGGGTTTTCCCATGGTGGAGATCATTATTACGCCAGATGGCAAGCAATGCGAGGTGTGCGGCGTTGATATCCCGTACTTCTGCATTTGTTGCGGTTCCAGAATCTTATGAAACAAGACGATCGCTTTACTAAGAGGTCATGGATGAATTTTAAACTATTAACGCCTAAATATGCTGGAATTTTACGTTGAGCCATTTATTTTACTACGAAAATGAGATCTGTTGTTTATAAAGAGTACCATTCCTACCAATTTTGACGGCGCTCTATCGAATAGAGCGTTGAGAAAATAAAAAAAAATCGCAATTTATGCAAAATTTTTGCAAAATAAAATGAAAAAACGCATGTTTTTAGGGCTAATTTTTTCTTCTTTCTCCATAAAAACGTGTTAGTATCGCTCGGGGAAGTCTTCCCGACACTTTAACTTAAAAAATATGCCATGGGTATTTTTTTCAACAAACATAGTGGTACCAAAATGGCGTTTAATTAGAATTTTCGTTTTATATTTGGTTATCGAAATGTTTTAGGGTCAATATTACTACAAAATTATATAGTAATTTACATAGTAATTACATAGTAAAACAATTTCGATAACCAAATATTAACGAAAATTCGAATTAAACTCTTCAAATCGACCGCCATTTTGGTACTGCCATGTTTATTGAAAAAAATACCCATAGCATATTTTTTAAGTTAAAGTGTCGGAAACACGTTTTAAAGACTTTCCCGAGTGATACTAATACGTTTTTACGGAGAAAATAGCGGAAAAAAATTAGCCCTAAAAATGTGCGTTTTTTAATTTTATTTTGCAAAAATTTTGCATAACCAATACAAATTCTAAGGAATTGTTACTTCTTAAGTACCCAGATAGCACAAAACCTCTTGAGAGGTTTTGGATGTAAAACGTCTTGGATGTATTCAAAACACTTCTTAAGACATCTTGAATTTATTCTGGATGAATTCGAGCATTTTGTGTTATCTGGGTGATAACGATAACGAGTTAATCTAAAAAAAATTATAACGATAATGATATATAGAAAGTAACTTTTTTCGGTAGGTAAATTATTTACTCGTAAATAGTAACTTTCCGTTCCTACGTATATTAAACAGCAGTCTCTCGTGGGAAATCTGAAATAGTTTGTGCCACATCGATTACGTACCTTCTTAATTTTCGGTTCTTTCTCGCAACTGGTATCGACAAAATACACCCGGTCTGACATAAGACAAGGTAACACCAAAGTGTCACGTTTGCGTGTCGATGATCCATGGCAGCTGCTGCACACATTCCAGCCAGCATGATGTAATTCATCACCAACCACTGGCATTCTCAGTTTGTGTATTATCTTCAAGCAAAAAAATATACTCTTGCATCATTATATATATATTATTTTTTACAAGAAAAAAAGGTCATTCGAAAATATTTTTCTTACATTTAGCGTAACCCAAAAAATTAATTTCAGGGAGGGCTGCAGCCTCCTGGCTACGCCACTGCTGTATATGTGTGTGTGTGTGTGTACACATATACATATACAGCAGTGGCGTAGCCAGGAGGCTGCAGCCC